AATAGTTTTTTTTTTTTTTTTTGAGAATAAATGGTTAAAAAGTAGGAAGAAATTTTGAATTTACGTATAAAATATTTTATTATGTGAATGCGTAATTGAAAATGGACATGAGAAATAAATATTTTTATTTTAAAGGAAGACAAATATGAGCTAAATTGAGTTTAGTGATATGATAAATTAAAGTTAAATGATCCAGTTGAAATTTTACTAAAAGTTTGATGACCGCAATTGAAATTAACCCACGCTTGTTTGTGAGGGATTAAAATCGGATTAAAATTGAAAAATTAGTCATTATTGTTGACTTTTATTAGACGGGTGAGACCCAATAACTGCTATATTTTCAATTTTAATTGGATTAAAATCTCTCACAAACAAGCTCTAAATACAAAATAAGGGTGTCTTTGAACCATATAATTTTGGAAGAATGTATTTTGAAATAGTAGAATGATGGAGAATGTGTGGTTGAAAAAGAAGAAAAAATTATTGATGTTATGAAATATATTATTTTATTGAAAAACGTATTGTTGAAAATGAGAAGAAGAACGAGAACGAAAATTTTAATTTGGCTCAAACGGGGCTAAAGCTAAGCCCCTGTTTGATACTCATTTTCTTTCTCATTTTTCCTCTTTATTTATTTCAACTATACATTTTATTAATAAAATAATACTACACATAAATCCAAAATTTTTAATTATTTCTTAATTACACATTCTTCCATCCATCACCGTTCCAAAATTTATTTTTTCTTCAAAATGGACGTCTAATAGGGGCTAAATATCAGGGGGCGTGTTCCGTATAGATTAAAATTGGATTAAAAGTAAAAAACTAATCGTTATTGTTGATTTTTATTAGATTGATGAGTGAATATGTCCCAAATATTTGCACTACATGCCTACGTTAGCCTGGCGTGCCAATAGGACCAAATCCACGCGGCATGCTCTCATTGGATGACACCCGGAGCAGCCCACAAAATCCAACGGGTTACCCACGAGGCTACGACGACATCAATTTCTGCGAGCCTAAGTTTTCTTTCTGTATCTTCACAGGCGGTGTGGTGATGTTCACGTCAATCCAAAAACCCGTAGTATTATTTCCAGCACTCTCCTTCTGTCTTGCTTCTCTGTCAAGATAAAAAAAGGCACACGAGGAGGAGATAGATACACTTAACACCCTTCTAGTGGGTTGGCTCTGTTCACTTTTCTTCCATGTCTGAGAGTAGAAGCAAGGAACGGAAAAAACATGGCAAGAAAGGGGTTAATAGAGGAGAAATTGAAGATGGGCAATCAAATTTTCCTTTAGCTTCTACTCCGGGTGATTATTTTCCTGATGAAGGTGTTGACACAGAAGGAAGGGTACGCAAAAGGAAAAGTACTGAAGAAGAAATGGAATTGCAGGATCCATTAATGGTTTTGGGTTCGGAAATAATGGTGATGACACTGAACCAACTCGACGCACGCAGCGTGGCACGATCTCTCCTGGTCTCTCGTGGATGGCATAGTATAGCTTCAAGTGATGAAATTTGGTCCCGCAAGGTTCCTTCTTGTATTACTCATATTTTTTTTTTATTTGCTCGTTCCGTGTTTTTGTCTGTGTGTTTTTTATGGGCACTTTATTGTGTGAAATGTGTGTTTGAATTTGTATATACTGTTTGTACTTTGTTTTCGTGATTATTGATGCTTTTGTTTTAATTAATGCACATTCTTAATGGGCGCGTTCATCTATACTTATAAATGCTACAAGCTTAGCTTTTAAGTTACTTATTTTGCCAAGTGCCAAGTTACTTATCTAAAACATATTCTTGTTCTTGTCTGTGTGTTTTTATGGGAATTTATTGAGTGAAAAGCGTTTTATCAAACTATGTTGCATTTACTTTTGTTTTCTGTTTTGTGATTATTGATGCTTTTGTTTTAATTAATATCTGTTCTTGATGATTAAGTTCTTGTTTGTCTATACTTCAAAGCAAGTCAAAATTAAAAGCTAAAAGCTTAGCTTAAGTTATCGATTCTTCCAAAGATTTTGCAAAGTTACTTGTCCAAAATCAATCTTGCTACACAAACGGGGCATTTGACAAGATTTAAAAACAGTAGACACTGTCAAACATTGGACAGTTTGAAAAAAACAAAAAAGTCACACAGGTACCGACAAGTAGTCCGTGTCACCCAATCTTGTCAACTGCCCTTGTTCGAGTAGCTTAACTGGTCCAAAATAGTATTTGAATGGCACTAGCCATCTATTTGAGACTATTGTTACTAGGCATTCTCCCTCTACCGATGGCTAAGAAAATGAACTTGGCCTACTCTTGGCTCAAATAAGTTATGAGTAAATATGCTCTATTCACAACTATAGAATCGGGTTACAACGTGAGTATAATCTTGATCAACTATATATGGGGCTATATAGGACATGCTATCTTCTCCTTTGAAAGTAATCAAAAATGGAAATTGTTCAATTGGAACATGAAAACGTGATTAAATGGTCATAGTCACTCTTTGGGACAGAGTGGAAGAAGGGAGGGATTCTCGAACGCAGAAAAGGATCCAGAATTGAACGAGGAGCCGTATGAAGTGAAATTCTCATGTACGGTTATGTAGAGTGGTAGTAAGGGTGTGTCAACTTTTCCACTATCATGGAATGTGCAAGTATTGTTTAGCATGTGTTTGGCCCCATTTTTTCCAAACTCATTTTCAATCACATATTCTTCTAGTAAAACAATTTTGCACATGGATCAATAAATTTTTTTCAAATCAGAAATCACCACACATTCTTAAAAAATAAAAAAAATTCTTTTCACAAAATCCATCATCAAAAATCTCTATGGGGCTTAATAATGAATATGATAATTCATAGATGCCCAAAAAAAGTGTCAAACTTCTTTAACTTCCAACTCACTAGGAAGATTCTTTAAACGCTAGCAATGTTGTGCATCAAATAGCAAGTGATTAAAAATGTTTTTCAAGAAGAGGAATTTATAGATGTAAATTATCAGAATAAAAATTATAATAATATAAAGGCTTGAAAAATTGAAGGAAAATTGACAGATGAGTGCAAGAATACCAAAACAAGTTTTGGAGAAGAAAGAGGAGAACCCAGTTCTCTACCTGGCAATTCCACCTATCCAGCTGGATTCTTGGCATGTGAGCATTGTCACCACGATCGCACCTTCGAGGAGACCCTTTGGTGGTGCATGTGGCATGTGGTGATTCGCTGGTGGCATGCATGGGCTCATGAAGAGTCGTGGACTCTTCCTTGACTGCTGTTCTTCATTCTGCATATGATGGAGTCTTTTTTAACACCGATAGGTTGGAAAACGTAAGTCCTACAGTTGAAAATTTAATTTCACATCTCTCCAATAATAACTAAAATGCAGATTAGTTCGCTTGGTATGAAATTTCTTACCCTAAAAAACTTTTGTTGCTTTTCTGATGATAACTACCTTGTCGATTGCGAAATGTTTTTCCTGAGTTTTATTCGATGATAGCTATCTTGTTGATAGCAAACTGTTTTTGTCGAGTTTTGTTTGATGATAGCTATCCTGCCTATAGCAAGCTCCTTAAACTTTTATTGCTTATATGATGATAGCTATCTTGTCGATAGCGAACTGTTTTTGCTGAGTTTTATTTAATGATAGCTATCTTGTTGATAGCAAACTGTTTTTGTTGCGTTTATGACCTATTGATAGCTATCTTGTAGATAGCAAACCGTTTTATTGAATTTTATTATTATTATTATTTTTTTAAAGATAGCTATCTTGCCAATAGCAAACTGTTTTTGCTTACGTTTTGTGTTGATTGTGGTCTGCTAATAATCTTCGCTGACCATGATTTTTATTTTATTTTATTTTTTGGAAATTTGTTGAGTTAATAATTTTATACAATGCACTATTCTTAGAATTTCTCTCTTATTATGGAGATTAGCATCTAAACTGTTGATCCAATCTAAATACTCTTCTGCTTCTCTACATGGAATGGAAATTCACCCACTTCGGAAGATGTCTTGGAAATCACAAGGGATTGATTTCTGGATAAATCGTTCAGTGTTTTCTATTCCATCAAACTGGAGAAACATGCTGCAAGGCTGTGTTCTTTTGTTCATATAATGAGCTGTAGTTCTTCATTTCATTTAGCAAGAAAAGGGTTGTGATGTTTATTTTGAAGACTCAAATATGCTGATTTATGTGAGTAAGATTAGTGAATGACATTTCGAATTCCTAAATTCTGAATGAAGTTTTTCTTTTGAATTTGTGATTCATAAGAATAGAACTTCTATTAAGGACATCATATATATGTATTCTTTGTGAATTATTTTCGTTCTTATTTGTTCTGTTTCATCATTTTTGCCAAGTTAAGCATCTCAAAATGTTTGACTGGTTTCAAAATCTTTTCATTAGGTTGCATTTTGTAGACCAATAGTTGCATGTATTGTGAACATGCTTATGCACGTTTTTTGGAATTCAATAAATGCCTAGCAGAAAGTTAGCTTTCTTGTCGTGCAAGGCTAGACATGGGTGGTGATACTTTTTCGTCCTTATCTCTTATTAGAGTTCACACTATTCGTAGTGCATAGCTGATGAAAAAGAAGAAGAGATTCTTGGGACCTAACGATCTTTTGATGTCAGTGTCCATAGTTTTTAAGCTATCTTTGCAGAATTACCTGCCTGAAGTAGTTTTAGTAGAACTGCTAGTCAAAAAATGATAATTGGTATGGGAAGTATGCAATGATTCATTAGGAAAAAGAATAAAGAGCTTAAACTGTGAAGAACAGTTTCTAGTCAAAAAAAGATCATTGGTATGGGAAGTATGCAATGATTCATTAGGACAAAGAATTAAGAGCTTAAACTGTGAAGAACAGTTTGATAAATATTGGGGTTTTTTGGGATTTTGATTGGTTGAGCACATTGTCAGGGAAAATGGCTAGTACGGGTTGTTTGGGAATGGTGGGAGGCGTTATGACAAGTATCCTGTCAATGGTAAAGAGTTTTAATGCATAGATAGAGCTTAATATTATGGATGATTGAGGTGTCGTTTTTCAATTTATTATATGGAAGTCCCATTTTGATAAGTAAAACATGGTTAAGGAGTTGAAATGTGGTGTGAATGTAATGGAGAAACACAAAGCCAGAGTATTAAATGAAGGGATGGTATATAGGACGATGCTCCATCTTTCCTACCTTCAATCCATTGGAATAAAGGATATCTTTCAGTAAATATGGGAGAAGAAGTATGTGTGAAGTAGATACTTGGAATACTTTTAAGTATAATCGAGGGTTTTGGAGTCGGGCGTTGTAGGGATTATTAGACATTTTTTATTTTGATTTGAATTCAAGACTCGAAAATTGCCTGGGCTATTGTTAGCCATCCTTTTTCTAGTTCGTGCTCATATTTGATTATTTGTTAAGGATGAATTGGTCCTCATTCCTCTTTGTTTTTCTTGGAACCACGTCATTGTTCTTCCGCTTACAACATATGATTACTCTATGGGAATGCAAAAATGAAAAAACCACTACTTTTAGATTATTGGACTCGAAAGATAAAAGAGAAAAAAGATTTTAGATTGTCTTATGTGATTAAGAAGGGTAGAGATGAAACTTCGTGAAGCTTAAGATGAATGGGGATGGACCCCTCGGGCTCAGTCACTATAATATTTTTTATAGGTAAGATGGAGATTAAGATTTGTCATTCCTATGAATAAATATATTCTAAATGAAGAGTGCATAGTGAAAGCTCTATGGATTCGGAAACTAAAGAGAGCATATACATAGCTCAAGTTCAAGGAAACAGTAAAAGTGTTACTCGTAAATATGATAGCCTGCACTTTAATACGGTTAGGGCAATCAGAAGATTATAAATAAATAAATATACAGCTAAGTGTCTGATTGTGCGCAAACTTCGTTGTTCTCTCTTCATTTTCCCTTTTTGTACCCTTATGTTTTGTTTTTTCCTGTACCATGTAGAACATAAAACTTGGAAGTTTTAATTGCTGAAGTCATAGGAGAAGTTTTTATACTCCCTTAACGTTAAATGACTTCAAAATCCGGTCCAAACACAAATAAGACGTATGACAAAATTCTGTTCATATGACCTAGGGCACGACACTCGTCTTTGTACGGTTTATTCTAGTAGTGAGTTCTACTGTTGAGTTTCGGCATTAAACTTCAGATGTAAAACAACTACAGATATAGAACTTCAATATCACAATATGTTCCTTAGGCTTTAATGTTGCAATGGAAGTCGTTAGCATCACAAAAGGGTGGGCTTTTACTCGCCTTCGTTTCCACAACTAGGAAGAAACTATGGAGACATATAGACCATTGGCATCTAAGGCAAACTGCTAGGAGTGCCAATAATCGAGAATCCTATTTTGCCAATATTGTTTGGATGACTAGATTTGTATCTTGGCACCTAGGAAAATTGTCTTGAGTTTGTGATGGTAGATCTTTTCTTTTGTTTCTCTACCTCGGATAAAATCATCCATTATGTTTCACCAAGATTTATTGTATGTAGTTTAGACGGCATTATATATTTTTATTTTCGTT